GGGGAGGGTTGAAGGTGGAAGGGGAGAGGCAGGAAGGGGAGCAGAGAAAAACGTAGAACTCAATAAAAAATTAAAAAAAAAAAAGAATGTGGTCTTTGGGCTAAGAAGGATGGCGCAATATCTATTTCCTTCTCCTGGGATCGGTGACACATTTTTATTATTTTTCATACATTCATGGAACAGGAGTGCTTGCTTTCTGTGGGGCTTCTAGAACCTTTAGAGATGGCGAAGGTCACAAAGAGTTCTTCATACCAGAAATAATTTCCTTCTGCTTTCTCTACCTCAAAACTCAAGAGCTTTCCCTGAGAATAATTTACCTTTTCCACAAGAATTTGTCCAGAGACCTATTTACAAAAATTTTACTAAGCGCATACAAAGGTAAATTGGTATGTACAGTATTGGACTTCACAGAGTTTACGTCTTAGCTTCATGTTTAGGAATCTCTGTGGTACTGCTTTATAGGGAAGCTATGTTACCTTATGCTTAAATGCACATTACCAGATTCTAACGTATCATGAGTTTCAAGGAGTAGAGACTTGAAATCAGCCTCCCAAAAGTCCAATCTTAGCAGATCCATTCCTCGAGCATGTGACCCTTTCTTATTCTCAAGCTTTACATCTGTAAATGAAACTGGTATTTAATTGACCACATTTACATGATTATATAAAGGGATGTAGCCCAGTCCCAAATTAATACATATTTTTGTAAAGCATACAATACTGCTTGGTTTGGAATGGAGTTTTAAATTTTAAGTAATCCTTTCCCAAGGAATCAAAGCAGTAATCAGACGAAAAGTCACGGCGTTTCCTATATATTATATCCAGGTGCTAGCTTCTTGATAGAGAAACTCTTCAATATTGGCATCTCCCAGCTGCCCCCAGTGCTTTGCTTGCTGCCTGAGAACGCTGCAGATAGAGCACTTGTCTGGTTTGTTCCTGTGCTCTCAGAGCTGGGAATAGTCTCTAGCACACAGCATGCTTGTGACTTATATGAATCCACCCTCACAAGCAGCCTCTAAAGTCGCGCTGTTATTAGCTTTAGTGTTAGATGAGGAAGTAAGACAGAGAGACTAAGTCAATTGTTTTAAAAATATTCAAGCAAGTTAAGCAGTAAAGCCGGAATTTGAATCCAAGGTGTCTTCCCATATTTTTAATTCATACAAGGTACTTGTTTGATATTTATAATAAATTATAATTGTGCAAAGAAAGGGTGCCATCATACATGGACACTGGTTATTATAGCCTCGTTCCCAGAAATTGGATACAAATCTACTCTTTATAAGTCTCAGGCTTTTTACTAATGTGCCCGACACACGTATAGTTTGAAAAAAATGAACCCACAGTGCTCATTAAGGATTCTTGCTGCTTAGAACATCTTACAGTGATCATTTTGCTGTGTGAAGAACCCCTTTCGTTGAGTTAATCATCACCTCCTAAATGGTCCCATTTATACAGTTAGACTTTTCTCACGTGGAGTGGACTGGTGAATATCCATTAGTAGATCTCTTCCACTCACGCACAATAGCCACCCTCACCTCCAAGAAGTGTAGGGCTATAAAGACAGTTGGTGCCCTCTTCTGGGCATTTGGGGCAGTAGCATGCATTGAGTCACCAGGGTGCGTTTCTAGAAAAGCCGTCAGGTCAAATTCCTTCCTTTCCATTCAAATGACAAGAAGGAGGGTGGTTTGAGGGTCTTTTGCTGAAAAGAAGAACACTGGTCTGGGCCGGGTGGCAAAAACTTACAATGCCAGCTGTTTTGAAGGGAAAGGCATGAATATTCATAGGGCCAACCTGGGAACTTAGGTGAGACACTATGGCTTGTGGCAGGGATGCTTTGAACATAGCTATGTGTTTACAAAGTTAGGTCATGGTAGTTATAAATAATTGTACAAATTATTGATCAGATAATTTAAAGATTATACTGATTTTCTGTAAATTTCTAGGTTTAGACATATTTGAAATTACAAACATTGATAATTATTAATAAACTTGCTTTAATATCTAAGAAAATCATGATCAAAGCCCTTACACGAACAGTTGCTAGTTGGCCTCACTGTATTATTATATAGAACACAATATAAGATACATAGTTTAGTTGAAGGCAAGAGTCAAATAGCAAAGACAATATTAGGAAGACAGAGAAGTGGTTTAGACAGCGAGGAGGCCAGGACTAGTGGCGCAGATCTGTAATCCTAGCTACGAAGTAGACTAAAGCATGAGGGACCACAAGTTCAAGGCATGCCTGGGTCACAGAGTCAGTTTCAGGTAAGCGTGAGCAACTTAGTGAGATCCTGTCTCACAAATAAAAGACGACCTGGGATGTAAACCCCAAATTCAGTTCTCATCCCACAGAAAGAAAATGAGAGGGGAGACTGGGAGGAGGCCGTGGGCTGAGGGGGCTTGTTGGCTGACTCTCTACAGTCTGTGAAGCTGGGATAAATCCATCAAGCTAAGCCCCAGCTTTACCAGGCATGCAGCATAGAACACTGATAATAAAAACCAACCTACACTCGGTGCTTACTTTGTTCCAGAGTAACACTCTCATAAGGGTTTTGCATGCATTAATTCCATCAGTCCTCACAATATTTCAGTTTACCTCTTAGAAAAATTGAGAAGATGATTTCTATGAGGAAATTGCAGGCAAAGAGAAACTGTGTAAATTGCCCAATACAAGCTAACAAGTGGTGGGCCTGGAGATTGCCATTGGAAATATAAAAGAAAGGTGATAATATAGAGAGTGGAAGAATTGGGTGCTGTTACAAAGGACGCCTCACAAAGGTTACCATGGCAAAAGGAGAAAAGCCTACAGTGCCACCCCATTGCATAGAGGCATTCCTGTAAACAGGCATGTTAAGGGCTAGATTATTGCCAAGAAAAATTAATTTGCATGCTGCACATATCCAGCACCGTGAAAGCCAAGGTTAGTTCTTGAAATTTCTGAAGAAAACTAAATAAGCAGGAATAGAAGCTGCAGATGTCCATTAACAGCTGAATAATGAAGAAAATGCGATATACCTGTGAGAACACGCACACGCAGGTTTTATTTGGCCTTAAAGAAGAACAATAGTGAAACTGGAAAGAACTTAGCACTTAATATCGTGCACCACCCCTCCTGAGGAATCCAATTCAATCCCCAGCAACAATGCGGGGGTTTCATAACCTCCTGTACTTTCTCTTCTGGTCTCCATGAGCCCCTGTATCACTAGTACATAGCATCATTTAAAATGAGTCTTCTTTTAAAAAGATAAAGAAGAGCAAAATATGTCATCTGGAGGAAAATAGATTGAAGCAGAGACCATCATAGTAAGAGACATAAGCCAAACTTTAATATCAATTTTTTCTCCTATGTAACATATGGAAAGAGATGAAGAAGCAGGGAGACAAGATAGGATAATGAGGGAAAATGGAAAAACAGACATCACATCTTCTCCATGACATAATAGCCTAGGGCAGGCTATTTCCGGGGGGAAGAGAGTATGCTTGGGGGTGTGTATGAACAAAGTGCAGTAATACACAACTATGAGATGACATAATAAAACCCATTATTTTGTATGCTGTCCAGAAAAAAAAAGAATAAGTTTAAGTAGAAAGCCAAAGAACCTGTGTTCGACTGAAGGTCCAGCCTGCTCCACCGAGAGAAAAGCACATTTGAGGAGGAAGCCAACAATGCTGGGACATATGCTCTATGAATTCATGACACAGGAGGTTTCAAAAACAATGAGACCTCTGCAATCTGGCATGTAAAACTCAAACAAACAAACAAACAAACAAACAAACAAACAAACAAAAAAGCAAAAACCCAAAGCCCATGCTTCTTGCATGATAATGTCTGTTTGCAGACAGCCACATTATGAGGTAGGTGCCTCCCACATATCAGGCCTCACTCACCACACTTAGATCTTGACCTTATGCCTCATGTTCTCACCAAATGTCCAACCAACCTGGGCGAGAGCACGTTCGTAACCTATCGTCCCTTTAAACAGAGCTGTTGCCCAGGGAAGCTTAAACCAACGGCCTAGGCCTGTTGCCTCCCATTAGGCACCTAGGTCAGATAAACTCACCCAAATTCATCTTCCATTGCTTTGGGTTTCTCAGGGGAAACCTACTCACCACCTCCTATGGTAAACCAGAAAGTTCCAAGTTGGACTTCTCAAACTTAAATACATATTACAATCACCTGTGAACTGATAAAAAAAAATTCTTGTGGCCTGCTCACATTCCAGACCCATAATAGCGGAATCCTCAGGAATGATACTCAGGCAAGTAGAACCTGAGCAGCTGACTCCAATGTCGAGCCTGAATGGAGGAGCCCCGGCAAGGACTCTTCCTCAAGCTCAAGAAGCACACTCACACAGTGATTTCGTATTCTAGAGTTTAGAGGGACCTCTTGAAGCACCTTTGAGACCTTAGCCCCAGAGAGTTCGTGTTTGAGTAAACCTCCTCTTTCTTTTTTTCTGTCTCATTTCTTTCTTTCTTTCTTTCTTTACATCCTGAGCAGGAGTCATCCTAGGTAGATTCACCACAAGCCAGCAGCGAACCACGTGAAGTGCTTCTCTAAGCATAGCAATTGAATGGGACTAAGAGGCCTCTGTCTCTTTAAGGCCTGATTGAGGTATTGCCTTTAAATCTGTGGTAACCCAGGGTAAGGCTGCTTCCTTTTAACCTAGTAGATTGGGTGCAGTCCAGGTTCCGGGCATGGGCCTCTCCTTGTAGGTTCCTTCAGCCTGTTTGAGAAATATTGTGTGGTTCCCACCAATGGAGAGTGGGAAGGGCATGCTGCCTTGGCCCACTTCTTCTTTCTCTTTGTTTTCTTGCCAAGAAGCCTAGTCAGGAGACTTGCTTTGGCCCAGAAGATTCTCCCACAGGAAGCAAGGAGGGTCTGCCAGCCGGCTTTTCTTTTGATTTCCTGCCCTGTCTTTGGTGTTTGTTAAACCAGGATGTGGAAGAGGTCAGAGTGATGTCCTTTGGACTTGAGTAGGGATCCGTTGACAAGCAGCAAGCTTTTCAAGATGGCCATTCTCACAATTCTTAGAATTCTTTTTTGGGGAATGGTATTTTTTATGGAATACAGGGTCCAAATAGCAAAGGCAGGGTGGCCCTCCATAACCCTCCTGGCTGACGACCTCTCGTTGCCCTTGAATCTGGATCTGGCAAAAGAAGCCCCTGGCAAGGAGATGAAGCCACGGCCCCAAGGATATCCCTTGAGGTATATGCTGAAGTTATACCAGCGTTCAGCTGACCTGCATGGGCGTCCTAGGGAGAACCGCACAATTGGAGCTAAAATGGTAAGGCTGGTAAAGCCCTCAGCCAATGCAGTAAGGCCTCTAAGAGGTGAGTTCTAATGCCCCATACAACCTTCCAGGGACAGGAGGGGAATGTGTAGACAGAAAGGAGGCTTGGTGTGTTGTCATTGATTGGTGAGCAAATTGTTTAGTCAAGCGTGGCTTTCAAAGGGTTGTAAACTTATGAAAAACTGGCTCCAAGGCTATTTTGCATTTGAGCCACAACATAAAAAATTTCCTTGGGTCCTACAGAGCAATTTTTCCTGGGTTGCAGGACAACTAAATCCAGTAGGAGCCCCTGTGTTTTCTAAACTGTTATATCACTTAAACTAATTAAGAAATTACCCAGCTGCGTTCTCGTAGAGGGCTATTTATGTGGTTTGGTTGCTCTTTGAAGGTGAATACTACAAGATAATGAGCTAGGAAAACTTACATGGTCTCAGACAGGACAAATGCAACACCTGCTCTCATAGAACACATGTTTTTATGGGGGAGATAAATAAGCAAGCTGTTAAATAATTGCAGTTTGTGGCAAGTGAAGGGGCCTTGGAATAGTGAATAGTAAAATTACCTCTTTCTGTAAGGGTTTCAGGGAAAACAGCTTTGAAGACGTGATATTTCAGTCGAGGTCTGTAAGACGTTATAACTGAGGAAACGAGAGCACCTGTTTAGGAGGAAGGACCACAGAGGGCAAAACCAAGCATATCCTGCTTAAACAAGGGAAAGATTAGTGGGACTGGTGCCTTGTGGGAAATGGCAGGAACTGAAACTTATTAGAGGCAGTGACTTGCAGGCCTTGAGAAAGGATTTGGGTTCATTACTAAGTGCGCTAGAAAACTGCACAAATCAAGGTAATGTGAAGCTTAAAAAGAGGATGCTTAGCCAGGCAGTGGTGGCGCACGCCTTTAATCCCAGCACTCAGGAGGCAGAAGCAGGTTGATCTCTGTGAGGTCGAGGCCAGCCTGGTCTACAGAGCGAGTTCCAGGATAGGCTCCAAAGCTACATGGAAACCCGGTCTTGAAAACTGAGAGAGAGAGAGAGAGAGAGAGAGAGAGAGAGAGAGAGAGAGAGAGAGAGAGAGAGAGAGAGAGAGAGAATGAGAATGAGAATGCCTAGGACTAAAACTGCAAGGTTCCTGGGCTGACTGTGGGACAACTGGCATTTGGTCTTTTAGAAGGATCCAGAAGTAGATGTCAAGTTCAGTCACACAGGACGTATGAGTCATCCCTTCCCTTGAAAAGTTCTTTGCAGACCCTTCCTGACTGAGGTTCTCAGCAGCCCCACCCTGCTTCAGGAAACACGTGATGCCAAGGTCTGAAAGGCAAGGGCAGCTCCTCAGCAGACAGTTTGTTTGGGTGGGGTTCCTTTGCAGGGTGGGGCAAGTGGATGGGTGGGCCTCTTGGAAAATTGTTAGAGGGAAATGTGGGGTAACTTGAGGAAATAAGTGTGGGTCTCCTTCCCCAGGAGGAAGGCTAGTGCTGCAAACTTGAGGGTGTGTTAGGCATAAGCTGGAATGGGAACTTCTGAAAATATTTTGAACACCAAGACATTAAAAGAACTTCTTTGTTGAAAGTGACTGTCCCCTTGAAGAATTTCAGGCTTACACATTCAGTGGAAAAGGAAGGTTAGGTGAATAACACATGGGCACACTAAGATGTTCCAACACAAGAGAAGGTTTTACCCTGTGCTGTCTGATTCTAGTCTACTCTTAACCTGTACCAGGAAAAGGAGAAGTTCAGAGTTCTGTAGACAGACACTTTTCGCTCTTTATTTATTTACTTATTTTTTTTATTTTTTTATTTTTTTATTTTTTCCATTTTTTTTTATTGAGAAAAGGAGAAAAAAAAAGTTTCCACCTCCTCCCAGCCTCTCATTTCCCTCCCCCTCCTCCCACCCTTCTCCCCCTCCTCCCACCCTTCTCCCCCTCCCCCCACTCCTCTCCCCCTCCCTCTCCAGTCCAAAGAGCAGTCAGGGTTTCCTGCCCTGTGGTAAGTCCTAGGTCCTCCCCTCTCCGTCCATTTCTAGGAAGGTGAACATCCAAACTGGCTAGGCTCCCACAAAGCCAGCACATTACGTAGGTTCAAAACCCCGTGCCATTGTCCTTGGCTTCTCATCAGCCCTCATTGTTCGCCATGCTCAGAGTCTAGTTTTATCCCATGCTTTTTCAGTCACAGTCCAGCTGGCCTTGGTGAGCTCCCAATAGATCAGCTCCACTGTCTCAGTGGGTGGGTGCACCCCTCGTGGTCCCGACTTCTTTGCTCATGTTCTCCCTCCTTCTGACCCATATCTATCACCATGCACAAAACTCAAGTCCAAATGGATTAAAGACCTTACTATTAGTCAGAACACATTGAACCTGATAGAAGAGAAAGTGGGAAGTACCCTACAGGAGATGGGCACAGGAGATCGCTTCCTATGTGTAACCCCAACAGCACAGACATTAAGGGCAACATTGAATAAATGGGACCTACTAAAACTGAGAAGCTTCTGTAAAGCAAAGGACACTGTCACCAAGATAAAAAGGCAACCTACTGACTGGGAGAAGATCTTCACCAACCCCGCAACAGACAAAGGTCTGATCTCCAAAATTATAGAGAACTCAGGAAACTAGACTTTAAAATGCTAATTAACCCAATTAAAAAATGGGGCACTGAACTGAACAGAGAATTCTCAGCAGAGGAAGTTCAAATGGCCAAAAGACACTTAAGGTCATGCTCAACCTCCTTAGCGATTAGGGAAATGCAAATCAAAACAACTTTGAGATATCATCTTACACCTGTCAGAATGGCTAACATTATTTACTGATTTATTTTTGGAACCAGATTTGTTTTCAAGAATATATTCCGATCATGGTTTGGCCACAGGGTGTCAGCACTACAATTTGGATTAAAGCTTTTAAGCCTAGGTTGCGTGCAGTTTGGGGCAGGTTTTTTTCTTATTTACTTATTTATTCACGTTTGTTTGTTTAGGTTTTTTGAGACAGGGTTTCTCTGTGTAGCCTTGGCTGTCCTAGGACTTGATCTGTAGACCAGGCTGGCCTCGAACTCAGATCCACCTGCCTCTGCCTCCCAAGTGCTGAGATTAAAGGCTTGTGCCACCGCCACCTGGCTGGGGCAGGTTTTTTTTTTTTTTTTTTTTTTTTGGCAAATAAGACTATTTATATAATCAAGGTTTATATTGAAATGGTATTTAAAGGCATGGTTGCAAAATGAATGGGTCAAATCCGAGGGAATAGGGGAGATTGAACTGAAGGAAAAGATTCAGAAGCAGTCCTTGAAGTTGTTGAAAGGCAGAGATACAAAGATGGTAACCACCCAGCTGTTTAGCGCTTGATTCTTCCTGGTTTTGAAATGATGGTAGTCATAGCACCCACTATTAGATTTTTCCCCTAAAGCTACATCTGTACAGTGATGAGACATGGGAATTCTTTCTTAATATATGTGTGTTTTGATCGTTTTTTAATTAGTCATCTTTAATAGTCAACTAATAATATAATTGTTCTTCAATATATGCAACATACACATTAAATAATTCTGTATTTCTGTTTTCACTGTTAATAGTCCAAAAGTAAGATGGATTTATATTTACTATAAACAGACTTGGGTTCAAATCTTAAACTTACCAGGTGCTGGTTGCATGCATTCTTTTTCAGTTCAGGGCATAGGATCCAGGACCTGGACTGGTCATGCTGAGCTTCATCCCCAGCCTTTGCCCTGGTGTCCTCTGATGGTTTCTGTAAGCCTCATTGCCATTATCTACAAAATAGTGCTAACAACTATCTCAGAAGACTGTTGAGTATGTTCTAAATGGTACTGGGAAATGCTCCATAAATGATATTATATCGAGTTAATTCCAGGGTTAGCGGTAACTATCAGTTTACATTTAGAGGCGTTATAAGGAATGTTCAGGTAAGAGGCAAGACTCTAATGGTGGATCCTGTTCTTTCACGTTTGTGCAGGTCCCTGGCATGTACAGACCCTGGACTTTCCTCTGGCATCAAACCAGGTAGCATATGAACTAATCCGAGCCACTGTGGTTTACCGCCATCAGCTTCATCTAGTTCATTATCATCTCTCCTGCCATGTGGAGCCGTGGATCCCCAAATGCCTGACCAAGTCCTTTCCTTCTGAAATGGGTTCCTTCAAGCCGCCTCCCATGTCTAAAGCCTGGACAGAGATGGATATTACACACTGTGTTCAGCAGAGACTCTGGAATCGCAAGGGACGGAGAGTCCTTCGCCTCCACTTCATGTGTGAGCAGCAAAAAGGCAGCGAGGTTCTTGAGTTCCAGTGGCATGGCATGGCATCCTTGGATGTCGCCTTCTTGCTACTCTATTTCAATGACACCAACAAGAGCATTCAGGCTAAACTCGCACAAGGCCAAGAGGAGTTAACTGATAGGGAATCTTCTCTCTTGCGGAGTGCCCGGCAAGCCTGCAGCATTGCATCTGATGTCGCTTGTCATACTCAGGAACATGACGGGTCTGTAAATAACCAATGTTCCCTCCACCCTTACAAAGTCAGCTTCCATCAACTAGGCTGGGATCACTGGATCATTGCTCCCCGTCTGTACACTCCAAATTACTGTAAAGGAATCTGCAGTCATGTGCTACCCTATGGTCTTAATTCACCCAACCATGCCATCATTCAGAGCCTTGTGAATGAACTGGTGAATCACAGTGTACCTCAGCCTTCCTGTGTCCCTTATAAGTTTCTTCCCATGAGTATCCTTCTGGTTGAGGCAAATGGGAGTATCTTGTACAAGGAATATGAGGGTATGATTGCCCAGTCCTGTACATGTAGATAACTGTGAAGTTGCAGCTCTCAGCTTTCCTAAAAAACTAGAGAAGATAAAGTATTATCGGTGATAAAGCTGACCCTGATCTACCCTTTCTACAGGTTCTATTCCTTATTGTAAAAAAACAAAACAAAACAAATATTGCACTTACACTTAAAATATACAAGCACTTTTAAAGTCCATAAACTAAGTGCTAGGATCACGTCTTAATATTTTTAAAAAGTAATTTAAAATACCATGAAATAGTCATCTTTAGAGTTATTTAAACCTCTTCCCTTATTTGTGAGCCCCTCAACTTGTAAAAAAAAGACTTTCTGGTACTGGTAGCACATCATGGATCAGTGTGATTTAACTATTCAAAGCCCTCGACACTTGGAAAAGATGCTATTTTGGAGATGTTCTCTTATGTCACTTTTATTGTGACTTTGGAAAAAAAAAAGACTAGTCCATGTAGTAGAACACGTTGGAGTCCTGGAAGTGACTTCATTCTAGACTCACTTGTTTTGTGTGTCCATCTGGACTCTTCTGGGCATGGGTCTCTGAAAGACAACCTTGTGGCTTGGGAGAAGGTATAGAACTCTCTCTGGGACTAACCGGAATTTGTAATATGACTCCTTGAGTTTCTTTCCCTTTTGAGGTGCTGAGACTAATAAGCAAGTGCTCTACCCCTGTGCTGTATTCCCAGCCCAGCTTGACTCCTCTATAATCCTCTACTGCATTTAAGTGTTGGGACAATACTGCAAACAAATGATGCTTTTCTTGTTAAAGAGAATCTTGAATGCTTTGGGAGAGACTGGAAAGAAAAAAATTTATCTTTTGTTATCTATAGCTATGATACAGAGATCTAGCCTAATCTCTGAGGGATAGGGCCAGAGGCGCCTCTGAATTTGTTCTCTGGATATCAGTTCTAGTAAGCGGCTTTCACTAATGTGCCCGGTAGAGAAACCCAGTCTCAGTACTTGCTTAGCTATTGACTTGTCTTATCACCATTCTCAGAGGGATAGGGCCTGATTTAAGGGTGAGGGCATGTGCTTGCCACTGTTAATTCCTGTCTCTTTACACTTATCATAAGTTAACTCTGTTCATAATTAATCCTTTCTCTACAGTTGCTACTCACTGGACTGAATATCTGGGGATCCATTCCTTAGCATCATTTTGTTCACATTTCTACTTAGAATCCAGGCTTTACTATCCATCCCACCAGTATTCTCATGACAAGCCAGGTTCAAGCAGCTGTGTTTCCTCTCTTCTCAGAGCATAGCATGCTTCCCTTAATATGCTGTAGTGCTGTTGTCTTCACTGAGAAAAAGACGGTGCTCCCTTTGAAGGTTTTACTTGTCTCATGACCATGTTCTCAATGACAAGAGCTGAAAACCTGTCCTTTAATGAACACAAAAAGTTGACATATTTTTTGTGTGTTGTTACATGGAATACCCCACTATTTATATATTTGTATGCTTATTTATATATTCGTTTTCTTAAAGAATAAATGTAACATGTGTGCTTTGCATATAAAGTATAGTATAGTGATTTCAAAACTGTATAAGAGTATGAAAGCTATGTTATGTAAGGTGGTTTGGGAAATCGTGATATGTTGTAAGGTGAACTGGGAGAACAAATTGGGCTTCCCATTTAGCTGTTTCTTCAGTGTTCCTAGGATAGGCATGAACACCCAACCAAAAACCTCCTATCCTTATGACTCCTGGATACCTTTGAAACTTCATGGGGAATCCATGATTAGTTGTCCCTATTCATTAAGCTCTGAGTAGTCAAAGTAACAACACAAAATACCCATAGGTAGGATGGTGTCAGCTGTCAATGGTGTTATGAATTTCCTTTTAAAAGTATTGTTTCAATTGAGTACCTTATCTTCAAGTCTAAAGTAAAAGGCACGAGTTTTAAACCTTCCTCTGAGAAAAAGCAGAAAGGCTCATGAGTTGAGGAAGGTATATGGACACAAGTTCTGCTTGTCCAGCTAACTGGCAAGGGAACAGTGATTTGGGGAAGGAAAGTAGAAAAGTCTACTTTCTTCCCTAGAAGCACAAAACAGGCTATATCATCATCTGAAGTATGGGTGCTAAAGGAATGTGTGTTTAAGCTTGCTTCTGACTCTGGACTTTGGTGCATACATTTTTCCCCTCTTTAGAAAATAGGTTATTGCTGGGCAGTGATGTGGTGCAAGCCTTTAATCCTAGGAGGCAGAGCTCTGAGATTGAGGCTGCTGGTCTACACAGCAAATTCCAGGAAAAACAGGGTTTTGAAAACAAAAACAAAACCCCAAAACAAAAGAAAATGGATTATTTTCTCCAATATAGCGTTATTGCAGTTTTCCCTTGTTTTACTCCTCTCAGTTCTTCCCCACCTCCTCTCTCGTCCAGATCCACTTCCTTTCTGTCTCAGAAAAGAACAGGCTTCTAAGAGATAATAAAATACAACAAAATAAAATATAAAAAAAGATAAACTATCACATTGAAGTTGGACAAGACAAACCAACAGAAGGGAAAGAGCCCAGAGAAGCCACAAGACTCAGAGATCAATCATTCGCCCATTCTGGAATATAACACTAACCTGGGAACCATAATATTTATGCTGAGGACATAGTACAGACCCGTGCAGGCCCAGTGTGTGCTGCTTTAGTCTCTGAGTTCATATGAACTTCATATGAGGGCCTTGTTCTCCTGGTGTCTTCCATCTCCTCTGTCTCTTACACTCTGCCTCTTCTTCCATGGGGTTACCTGAGCTCTGAGGGAGGGATTTGCTGGAGACATCCCCTTTAGAGCTAAATGTTACAAGTTTTCTCACTCTGTGTAATGACTGGCTGTATGTCTCTATATATGTTCCCATCTGCTACAGAAGAAAGCTTCTCTAGTGATAGCTGAATGAGGCACTGTTCTATGAGTATAGAAGAATATCATTAGAACTCAATACATTACTTTGTGGTAATTCTTTTTTTGTTTTTGTTTTGTTTTGTTTTTGGTGTTTGTTGTTTGATTTTTAGATCAGTATTATGTGGTTTTAACATAGGTCCCTGGCTTATCTAGTCTCAGGTTCTTGGTCACCCAAGCAGTGTTGGTATAGGTTGCATCTTGTGGAGCAGGCCTTAAGTCAAATCAGATAGTAGTTGGTTATTCCTATAAGCTTCGTGCCACCATTGCTGTAGCATATCTTTCAGGCAGGACACAATCATAGATCAAAGGATTTGTGACTGGCTTGGTGTTTATGCTACCCTTTAGGTAGCCTGCAGAGTACCTTCCTGTACCAAAGACACTAGAAAGTATGGGTGAGGGCTTTATGTAAGCTAGACTTCTCATGTTCAGTGATCTGTATAGGCGTTGTCTTTAGCAATGGAGCCTTGATGTCAGTTCATAGAGAGGAACCTATTGCCTTTGCAAAAGCATGGGTTGTTTGGAGGTCTCATGGGACCTTCTTTGGCTAACAAGTCAATTAGACGTAATCCAATCCTGGTACTGGAAACTTCATTTGGTGACAAGAGATGTCCACTTGAGACTCTGTCTCCCCCGTTATTTGGTGATTTCATGTAGATTGCCTTAATATATTTATATATTTTAGGAAGGTTCTATTCTTTCATTTTTCATGCTACCTCTCAAAGTCCTCTTAATGTTAGCTTTTTTGCCCTGTATTCTATCCCCCAATTCCCTCTTTTTCCCCTCCCCTTTTGATCTTCCAATTCCAGCATCCTCATCTGTCCATTGTTGTCTACTTTATTTCCATTTCTTAACAAGACCTATTGTTCCTATGTTCCATATTGGCCTATATTCCCTCTAGTACCTTACTCTATGCCTACCCTCTGTGGTTTCACAGGCTGTAGCTTGGACATTTAACTAAACAACTAATATCCACTTATAAGCAAGAACATATCATATTTGTCTTTCTGATTGTGGGTTACCTTACTCAGGATGATTTTTTCAAGTTCATCTATTTTCCTATGAGTTTTATGATTTTTAAATGGCTGAGCAATAAATACTCCATTTTATGTAAAGGTACCAATTTTCTTTATCCATTTTTATGTTGAGGGATATCTAGGTTGTTTAAAATTTCTGGCTATTATGAATAGAGCAGCAATAAACATGGTTTATCAAGTGTCTCTAGGGTAAGAGAAAACAGTCTGGGTGTATTTCCAAGAGTGGTATAGATGGAACTTGAGGTAGATCAATTGTCATCTTAGAAAGTGACACATTGATTTCCATATTGTCTGGACAAATTTGCAGTCCCACCAGCAATGGATGAGTGTTCCATTTGCTCCACATCCTTTCCAGAGTGAGTTGTCATTTGTTTTATTGGTCTTAACCATTCTAAATTGTTTAACATGAAATCTCAAAGTAGTTTTGACTTGCATTTCCCTGGTGGCTAAGGATGCTGAACATTTGTGTTTCTCAGTGATTTAAATTTCCTCTTTGGAAAACGCTGTTGAGATCTGTACTCCATTTAAAAATTAGATTATTTGTTTTCTTGATATCTAGTTTTGTTGTATTCCTTATGTATTTTTTTTCTCCACAAAAATCCCAAGATTTATTCATGGTATAAATCCTAAAAATCTAGGAATTGAGGGAATACATAAAAATACAATAAATGTTATACATGACAAATATATAAAGGGAGGAAATACTCAAATGTTTTTACTAAAATTACAAGAAAAGACATCTACTCTTCACATTTTTATCAAATATAGTGCTGCTCTCTATGACGCCTTCATGCCTTCAAAACTAACACCATATGGGAATCTCTCATACATTATGAACTTTAGATACCAGTTTGTGATGCAGCTTTGACTGCCTATGGGCACTAAAGAAATGCTTCCCATAAGATTTTACCTCAGTACTGCTGGTTTCTTGATAGTCATGGCTGAGTTTTCAGTACCAACTAATCTGCATCAATTGTCCTAATAATGGAAGACATTGGCTTCAATTGTTCTGGTCTCCTGATGATCATGGCTGAATCTTCAGATCTTGCTGATTAGAACCTACAGATTCTTACTTCAGTTTGTGACAAAAAAAAAAACAGTCTCTATAGAGTTCTTGGATGCTCTCAAACTTTTCTTTGAAAGGCCACAAGGCAGGGCTTCAC